TTTCTACTATTAATCTTTCTAATCTTGCCACATACATTTTATATACCATTATTAATGCTGATAAGAACAATTCATTCTTTCATCCATCCCAGAGAGAGATGAGGATGATGAAATGGAACATGGTATAATCCCATCAGGAAGGGTCTGTGATGAAATCACACCTGCTCCCTAAAAATCAGTACCGTGCCAATGCAGAAGTACATTCCTGCACCAATACCAGACGGAGGTTGAAATGCATATACAGTAGTTATGTTTGTTGGGAATATTATGATGTCTGTGCGTTTCCACACCATTTTGAAAAAGTCACTCTGTGGTGTAAACTTAATTGATTATGAAACCTGCTAACATTCTGCTCATGATTTGCATCTTCAGGAAACAACCTGAATTAACTTCATGAACTGCATAGCTCCCGTGTATTATTCCAGTTGATTGTATCTATTTAATTTTGCATGACTTCCTTTGAAAGATTATGGTGAACATTAACTCAGAATTTTTTCACAGTGACTGATCCAAGGAAAAGAGCTACTTTTCTGAACCACTGGGGGATATTTTATACACATACTTTGTTCCATATTAAAAGGCAGATACAAGAAATGTATACATTAATTGAATTTATAAGATACAGTAGTATTCCAGGTTTCAGAGGAACAGCCGTGTTAGTCTGTATTCGCAAAAAGAAAAGGAGTACTTGTGGCACCTTAGAGACTAACCAATTTATTTGAGCATGAGCTTTCGTGAGCTACAGCTCACTTCATCAGATGCATACCGTGGAAACTGCAGCAGACTTTATATACACACAGAGAATATGAAACAATACCTCCTCCCACCCCACTGTCCTGCTGGTAGTGAAATCTGTCTCTAGTGCTGTAGGCACCAACTCAGGAAAGGACTTGGCAATAGCTAAATTTTAAGCATGTGTTTACATGCTTAAAGGTAAGCCTGTGCCTAAATGCCTTCTTGAATAGGGAAACTTTCCCAAATTGGGTCTTAGTATTTTTAGTACAGGCCAGGGAGTCAGGATTCCTGGATTTTCTTCCTAGGTCTCATTTAGGTGAGTCATTTTAAGCCCAAATTTTCATAAAAGAGCCTGCTACTTTTGGGTGCCATAGTTTTTGTGTTCTCAACTTAAGCCCCCCAGTGACTGCCTGGTTTTTAGAGGTTCAGAACACTGACCAATCCAGCTGAAGTCAATGTGAGCTCTGCACCCTCAGCATAAGTGAAAATCAGGACCTAGGTATCCTGGGTTAGTTGCTCAAAAAGCAAGGCTCTTAGGGTTCCATTCTATACGTCCCATTCCATGCATCCGATGAAGTGAGCAGTAGCCCACGAAAGCTCATGCTCAGATAAATGTGTTAGTCTCTAAGGTGCCACAAGTACTCCTGTTCTTTTCTCGAGGCACTTAAGAAAATGTAGGGCATAACCTCTCTATGGCTTGGTTTTCCCATCTGCAAAATGGCTGCAATACTTACCCAACACAGATCAGAGTTGTGTAGCTTTGTTAATTAATGTTTGATAAGCAATTTAAGATACACGGAGGAAAACTGCTACTGCATATTAGTTCAAATAGCAGCAGCAGCAAACATGCACACAGCTGTTTAATTTCAGGCACTGTTTTTTCACCTCTGCAACTTGTCAGGTATAAGTATTTGCTTAAAGTTTAAGTTAAACATATGTCTAAGTACTTTGCTGAACAGGGATGGACACTTGCAGGTACACACGTGATTAGGTGTTTTGTTGAATCAGGGCCTATGTCATGGAACTGTATTGTAGCAATTAATGGGAGCATGGATCATGTATACAGAAATACCAGCAGTTTCCTTTGTTCTTATGGCATCAGGAGCTATTTATTGGAATTTTTCCATACTCCTTTTTTGTGTATATTTTTATGCAAAGCCTTCACTCTAATAAGATGTTCCTGAACTTTAGCATATTCACAAACTTTATATTGTTTTCAAATCTTCATTGTTGACAGACACTTCATCTTCTAATCTGGATTGAGTGAGTCTAGGAACTGAAAAGCCCCCGAGCAATAAGAAATAGCCCCAGGAGACAATCCAATTACCCGTTCCATCTTATTATGCAAGCTGTTGTTTTAGTTGAATAAATAAAAAAATCAGCAATGCAAAGGCCAAAACCTGTTTGCTTTCGACAACACATTTAATAAAGGGAGCAGGGTATCACATTAAAGTGGAAAGAAAGGGGTGAAGAGAGGAACCATTCTTCAGATCATACTGAACTGTTCTTTGAGACTTTGAAGGAAATGCACTTAACCTTATACCCTTTATTGTAGCCTATTCTGTAAGGAAAGATGAACCACTGGATAAAAGAGGGGCTTATCTCCAAAGATTACAAACCTTTGCTTTTGCCAGATATGCAGGTGAATTGGGAAGAGGTTTTAGGGTCTGAGCTTGTACACAGGAAGTCAATGGCAACATCCCCCTCCCCACTGACTTCAGAAGGTGCAAGATCAGTGTCTTGAAGAATAATGTTGTTTTCCCAAGGGTTGAAGAATTCAAGCTAACCCCCAACCAAACCATACTCTGGAAAAGTGCTGTTCTTAAGTAGTTTTGATTACAGATGTGGTCTCAAAGTTGCCATTGTTTCTAATCTGCCTCCAGCTGTTAGTGGCCCAAAGTAATTATGATCTGATGACTGTTTGGTAGCCCATGTGAAAGAAGATAGTGGCTTCAGTCCAGTTCTGAGAGAACATGTTTCCACATGACAAAGCAAAGTTGCCACTAATTGGCTGTGACATCATAATGAACAGGGAGTCTTCGGACCCGAGCTTTGTGGCACCTCAAAGCACCTCTCACCAGCACTGATTTACAAGTGGGCTACTTAAATGACAGATCATACTTTGGAAAAAAAGCCCACATCCTCTAGAAATTCTTTTTCAGTGACCTGTACTACTCAGATCCTTGAATAGATCTCGCTCCATAGTACTCGCATCAAGAAAAGGCATCCCAACGCCTTCCTTTCAAACAGTAACTACAATGTCATTTCAATTCTATTAGAAGTGTGGTAAGAGGAATCCCCAGCTTGCTGCACACTCCACCAAGAAGATGTTCAAGCTGCTGCAGGAAGTATTGTTGGTGATCCTCTAACTGTTACCTTTTCCACTTAGGCTACAGTGAACCAGTGACACAGCATATCATTAGGGACCATTCTGAATAGACAGATGTAAACCCAATTTACTGGGCCGCAATCTAACAACCTGTGAAGTTAATGAAAGACTCCCATTACCTTGGCTACTTGTAATCATTAAAATGTAACCACACTTTTTGCAAGAGTAGGGAAGTTAGTCAGTGCCCTGGCCAAATTCCTGTTTGAGTAATAACGTGTCGTCTTTAAATTCCCTCTTAAATTTCAGCTGGCCACAGTGTTCTTCACTTCTGGCCATAAACTACTGCACACTATTCTGTGTACCTATATTATACCACAAGTTTCACATCAGTGGTGTCTATATCTCAGTAACAGGTGACGACAGCTCTATACAATAACTTGTGTGTGTATTTACATGTATGGTTGTAGAACTGGTAAAGCAGTGGCAACAATTACCCACTAATATGTGTTTGAATTTTTCAACAAGTTTGCTTTGGCTGTGTTTGTACACATTTTGTGTTATTGAAAAATGAACTATTTTGTTGAATATTTCTGCAAATAAACTTGTTTTCTCAAATGTTCATGAAAAGCAAATATTCCCCCCAAATGAATTTTTAATTCAAAACTGAAAGTATTTGCACCAGAAACTTCATTCTAAGAGTTATGCTCATGCAGTCAGGAAACAGAATCAATACCTAGCAACCTATGTATCCAATCAAAGTAGCATCCAAGGGTGAAATGGGATAATAACTTCTTCCGTCCTTCTCCTCAAATGTGCCTCACGAGGCTTATGCAGTTGATTTACTTTCAGTTTCTGATAAAAATAATAGGTGGGACCAAATTATGCCTCTCAATTATGTTTGATCAATAGGAAATTAAATGAACTACTTACTATTGTGGAATGATGGGAACCATAATGTGGTACCCTAATGATGCATAAGATAAGGGAGAAATATTTAAACGTACTAAGAAGGGAAGAAAAATTCTTTGGCATAAAGAAAAGAAAAGAGTCAGTTAACGAGCTTTCCCCCCATGCCCAAATTATAAATCCTGTGATGGTTAAAATATTTTCCTCCAGGAATCTGTCTAATTATGGCTTTCTCAGATTTTAGCTGACTTGAAAATTTCTTACAAAGCATTTTAACCATTAAAAAAATATGATTTATTTCAAATGTAAAAGCTCATTTAATAATCCCAAGACTCTTCAGACCTCACAGCCATGCTGATCAATGAACACCTCAGGTGCACGGAAGCTGAGCTGTGAATTAATCAGTGCTATCACACAGCCCATGGTGCCTTATTACTCAGACAATCATTAACATGTTGAAGCAGCCTTTGCTGGTGGGAAATGACATACAGCAGTGCAGGATTAACTGGCATAAGCACTTGGGCAGTTCATGCCCAAGCCCTGAGTAGAAGGAAACACTTTGCATGATGCTCAAGCATTTTGAGCTAACATTGTTAAACCTTTCAGTGAGGTACATCCCAAACTATGCTAAACAAGGTAGGAATCTTTATGAACCCTAAATTAGTTGTGTTTGTACAGTGCCTAGCACAATGGGGTCCTGGTCCATGACTGGGGCTCCTCAGCACTGGAATAATACAAATAATAAATGATTTGTTAAATCATTTAATAGAAAAATCTAAGTTTGTGAGCCTAATCTAATCATATATATTTTTGCTGTGACTAATTCTTCTAGTTTTAGTGAGCACTAAATGGAGTGGGACAGTGGCTGGATTCTGTGTTTCCCTTCTCCTGATATCAACTTGCTAGAGTTTAAAATAGAAAAATTAAAACTGGATTATGATCCCTTTCTTTCAATTATAATACTTTTGTCATTTAAAAACAGTTAAAAGGTCTGTTGTTGTTATCTTTTCCCTGGACAGACATTTCTGCAGGTAAATAGCACTGCAAATCATTTGGGGACATGCAGTTCAGTGACAGCCCACGGAACAACGTGTAAAGAGAATGAAGAGGCACACTTATATGACCTCACAATGGTAAGGCAAAAAACCTACATGTAACATTGCTTGGAAATTAGAACTGGCTGGACAACAACAGTTCTGTTTCACAGCTTTCTAGGTTTCAGAAATTGTTTTCATTCTGCACTGGAATGAAAACAAAAATTTTGAACATTTTCACAAAATGGAATTGCATCAAAACATCCATTTCAGATCAGAAAGGTCAGGTTTTTGATTTAGGTCTCTCTAGCACTCTCTGGTCAGAAGCATCCATACAGCTCTGGACCTCAGAAACCTTCCCATCACAAAATTCTTCAGAATCAATACAACTCCATGACATGTTTTGGTTTTGACAAAACAGTATATCTCATTGAAAATATGTTTTGTCAGAAACGTTCTGTCCAATTTTATTGTAAATACAACACTCATCATTAGGAATCAGGAGGGGAGGTGCGCTAAGAAGAAGATGGGGGAGAAACAGAAGAGTTGGAGTTGTGTGTGTGTGGGGGGGGCGGTGGACTCAAAAGCGTCCTGATGAAGAATGTTCAAGCGATCTTCTCAGATATCTTTTCTGTCCCATGAATGAAAGAAGACAGAAGGCAGAAGATATTGGAAGAGGCCTGCTGGCTAGATAAGTGGTGTAGGGTTTTTGTTTTGTGGAACATTGGTCCATCTTTTGTGGAGAGGGGGACTTTATAGTTTGCTTGGCCTCCACCCCAATACAAGTACTTACAAGGGAAACCATCCTTCTTGGAGACAGGCTGGCTAGACTAGTCAGGGGAGCATTAAACTAATATCAAATGTGGAAGGTAAAGGGAGGGAAGATACAAGCACTCAGATAGCACAAAATTGAGATGTTGAGAACAAAATTAATCAAGGAACCAAAGAACAGGATAAGAAAAAAATATTGAATTGCCTATAGACCAGAGGTGGGCAAACTATAGCCCACAGGCCTCATCCAGCCTGCGGGACTGTCCTGCCTGGCCCCTGAGTTCCTGGCCAGGGAGGCTAGCCCCTGGCCCCTCCCCCGCTGTCTCCCCTCCCCTCCCCTGCAGCCTCAGCGCGATGCACCGCCAGTGCTCTGGCCCGCCGGTCTTGCCGGGCAGCGTGGTGGTGGCATGGCTGGCTCTGGCCAGGTGGTGGGGCTTTGCTGCTTTGAACAGCATGGTAAAGGGGGGAGGGGGGTTGGATAAGGGGCAAGGGGTCCCAGGGGGCAGTCAGGGGACAGGGAGCAGGGGGTGGTTGGATGGGACGGAGGTTACGGGGGGGGGCAGCCAGGGGACAGGAACAGGGGGTGGTTGGATAGGCATGGGAGTCCTGGGAGAGCCTCTCTGGGGGCGGGGGTGTGGATAGGGGTCAAGACAGTCAGGGGACAGAGAGCATGGAGGGGTTGGATGGGGGTGGGGTCCTGGGGGGTGGTTAGGGGCCGGGGTCCCGGGAGGGTGTGGTCAGGGGACTAGGAGCGTTGGATGGGTCAGGGGTTCTGAGGGGGGTGGGAAGTGGGAGGGGGCGGATGGGGGCAGGGGCTAGGTTCTTTGGGGAGGCACAGCCTTCCCTACCCAGCCCTCCGTACAGTTTCGCAACGCCAATGTGGCAAGTTTGCCCACCCCTCCTATAGACCAATGGTAGAAGCCTAGATAACAAACAAGAAGAATTGGAATTGCTCATTTATAAGCACATATTAAATTTAGCTGGTATTACTGAAACCTGGTGACATGATTCACACTATTAAAATGTTAAATTCAATGGTTATAACCTATTTAGGAAGGGCTGAGTGGGCAAGAGGGGCGTGGGTGAGGCACTCTATGTCAAAAATGGTATTGGTCCATTACTAGATGTAAATGATAGAATTGCCAATAATAATGCAGAAAAAGCAGAAGTTGAATAAATATTTCTGTTCTCTATTTGGGAAAAAACAGATTATATAGTCTCATCATATGGTAATGATAACATACTTTCCATTCCACTAGTACCTCTATAGGATGTTAACCAGCAACAACTTGCACCCAAGAGTTCTAAAAGAGCTGGCTCAGGATCTTGGAGGAATGTTAATGCTGATTTTCAATATGTCTTGGAACAATTGTGAAGGTCCCCAAAACTGGAAGAAAGTAACTGTTTTGGCAATGTTCATAAAGGGTAAATGGAATTACCTGGGTAAATACAGGCCTGTCAGCCTGACACCAATCTTGGGCAAGATAATGGAGCAGCTGATAAGAGCCTTGATTAATAAAGAATTAAAGGAGAGTAGTATAAGTAATGCAAATCAACATGGTTTTATGGAAAACAGATCCTGTCAAATTAACTTGATATCATTATTGATGAGATTACATGCTGGGTTGATAAAGGTAATAGTATTGACATACTATACTTAGATTTCTGTAAGGCATTTGATTTAGTACCACACACAATTTTGATTAAAAAACTAGAGTGATATAAATTTAACATGGCACATATTAAAAATTGGCTAAGTGATAGTTATAAAAATGCAATTGTAAATGGGAAATCATCATTGAGTGGGTGTCTTACAGTGGGTCCCACAGGGTTTGGTTCTTACACTATTTAACATTTTACACTATTTAACTTTTTTTAATGAGATGAAAGAAAGAAATAAAATAATCACTCATAAAGTTTGCAGATGACACAAAAATTGGGAGAGTGGTAAGTAATGAAGAGGACAGGTCATTGATTCAGAATGCCCTGGATTGCTTGGTAAACTGGGTACAAGCAAACAATATGTGTTTTAATACGGTTAAATGTAAATGTATACATCTAGGAACAAAGAATGTAGGCCATACTTACAGGATGGGGGACTCTATTCTGAGAAGCAGTAACTGTGAAAAAGATCTGGGGACTGTGGTGGATAATCAGCTGAATTTGATCTCCTAGTATGAGATCATACCAAAAAGAGCTAATGTGATCCTGGGATGCATAAACAGGGGAATCTCAAATAGGAGTAGAGAGGTTATTTACCTCTTTATTTGACACTGGTGTGACCACTGCTGGAATACTGTGTGCAGTTCCAGTGTCCACAGTTCAAGAAGGATGTTGATAAATTGGAAAGGGTTCCGAGAAGAGCCACTAGAATGATTACAGAATTAGAAAACACACTTTATGGAGATAGACTCAAAGAGCTCAATCTATTTTAGTAACAAAAAAGGTTAAGGGGTGACTTGATTACAGTCTTTAGGTATCTATATGGGGAACAAATATTTAATAATGGGCTCTTTAATATAGCAGAGAAAGGTATAACAAACACGATCCAATGGCTGAAAATTGAAGCTAGAAAAATCAGACTGGAAATAAGGTGTACGTTTTTAATGGCAAGAGTAATTAAAACCTTGGAACAATTTACCAAGGATCATGTTAGATTCTCCATCACCGACAATTTTTAAAACAAGACTGGATGTTTTTTCTAAAAGATCTGCCCTAGGAATTATTTTGGGGAAATTCTATGGCCTGTGTTATACAGGAGATCAGACTAGATCACAATGGTCTCTTCTGGCCTCAGAATCTATGACAAACAATCATTTGCTTTTTACAGCCGTAGATACCCTCAAAACACTTTAAGAATGTAAGTATCATTTTCCCATTTGACTGGTTTGGAAACTGAGGCAAAGAGCTGACTTGCCCAAGTTCATAGAGTCTGTAAAATAGCGGAACTGGGAAGAGAATCCAGCTGTCTTAGCTATCAGGCCAGTGCCTGGTCCTCCAGACCACAGCCTCTATGGAAGATTAATAATTTCCTCTACTAAACCATTCCAATACTACTAGCAGTTACATGGTTCCCTTATTGGAACCTTATTCCCTTCATAGAGAATTCAGTCATTACTGTAGAATGAGAACTCATTGTCTTTGCTTAATTGTTACCAGGATTATTCAATTCATTCCAAGGGAAAAAAACAAAGAATTGTTGCTATTTTTATAGCATTGATTACTAGAAGAAAGAAAATGTTCATTAACTTAAACTAAATGTTTAATATTGGTCTGCTTGGCATCTTTAATTTCAGAGCCGTCAGCAATTATTGGCATCTATTGAGCTTCCTCAATTCATGGTCACAGAGAGAGAAATAGCTAAAACACTGCACTATTCTATATCCCCCATTTCTACTACTTGGAATAAGGAGCTTGTGGGATACGGTCTTTGATCTATCTTTGTCTGTGGTTTGAAAAATGGTTAGGCTTTTAGTCAAACAATTACTCCCTTTCTTCCTTTTCTAAAGAATTATACTTTGGCATTTTTCTTTTATAAATAATATCTACTCAGTGTTTTGTGTGCGTACCTATTACCATAGTATTTGAACACTTCCCAGGTTAATTAGATTGGTATGAGGAGGTCACTAACGAAATTCTTGGATTCTACCATTTTTCTTTCTCTGGTTCTAGGAAGTTCTGTGCCGGTTTTGACCTTGGATTCATGTACCCACAGGTAAATGATTTAAATCAGCATTTTTCATTTTTAAAGCACTGTGCAAATATTAACTAATTAATCCTCCTTGCAAGTTAAGTGCTAGCAAATTAGTATTATTATCCCCATTTTACAGATGGGGGAACATAGACAAAGAGGAGATAAGGGATCCTTGATCCTCATTCTAGTTCATTAGACCACACTTCCTCTTGATAATGATACCTGCACTAGTAACCAATTCAATAGACAAACTTCTATCTTAACTAACCACTTTAATGTTATCCTCAGGTTTCCAGTACAGTTTTGTTTAATCTTTAGTTACAGGCCACCTGTACTAGGCAACCAGCACATCCTAGGAAGCAGCTCTGAGACAATCCAAAATAAAAACATGCAATATCTGCTGAACCAAGCAAGGGCACTGTTCTCAGAATTCCCGGCCAGGGAAGGTGGCAGTGCTGGGAACGACTTCACAGCACAGATCAATGGGTGTATGCAATGATACAGCCCTCTCCTAAGATACACTGTGTGTGTGTAATGGGGGAAGTTTTAGATCTCATCCCCAACAGAGAGAACCAGCCTGTGAATATGTTCAAACTACCCTGAGTGTACTTCCTACTGTAAGATTACTGTTTACCTCCTTGAGTTTCATCCACTTTAGTATTTGGTATCATTGCAATCGTTGCCTCACAACACAGGGAAAGACAGCAAGAAACAATCACCCGTTGTGTTGATTAGGATCAGCTCAGTTCTGAGATACCAGCAGCAGCAGAGCTATTGCTATGTTCTCAGCTAGGTCTATTTATACGCTGTGACGTGGAGCACCTTTTACTAACTAAGATGTTCTTCCACTCACCGATCCTGGAAATTCTGCATTTCAGATATATTCTAAAATAAAAAACTACAACAGTAACATTGATTGCCCAAGTCACCTGGTGTAATTTCAAAAGTAGAGCACATCTATCATCCTGGGGGATGTGGATGGGAACAACCTATGAACCCCAAAGATTGACGTATTTGTTCTTGCAGCCTAGGGTTACACACTGACTAACTAAGTGAGTAAATTATATTGAGCCAAAGCAGATAGTTGTTACAAAAATAGAATTAGCATGTTATTGTGCCATGGTATCTTCCAGCCTTATTTAAACTTTCAGGGTTACAGACAGGAAACAGAACCAGAATCTTGCAGAGCATGTTCCTACCAAACACATACTACTACTAACTGTTGTTGTTGATTAGTATTGCAGTAATGCCTAGGAGTGACAATTAGGGATCAGGCCCTCACTGTGCTAGGTGCTGTCCAACACAGAATAATAAGACCATCCTTGTTTGAAGCAGTTTAAAATCTAATTTAATTCAGACTAATTTATTTCAGTTCAAGAGGCTGCACCGTTGCTTACTGGAGGAAAGGCTCACCTTACAGTGGAGAAAGTGAAGGTTCTTCCATGACAGCCACAATGTGTGAGTCACTAATATTTATCCTGCAATAATAACTCCTTTATTTTGATTTTTAAGACAAGGAAAATAATATAAAACCCTTAAAGAGATGAGTACATCCCTAATTTGAGCAAGTACAGGATTTTACCACCTTAACCCTCAACTTTTCCTGCCCTGTTCCCTTCTCTCTGCTGGTTACCAGAAAGCCTGACATCTAGACTGCAAGTTCCTGAGATCTCTGTCTTCTGTGCAGAATCTAGTATATTCTGGAGCTCTATATTGATAAATAATTGGGTACTGTACAACCTGACAGGCCTTTGGGGTTGAGAAGGCAGATAGTACAGGGGTGATATGAGGTAAGGGTGGGAGGGCACATCTCTTAAATGACAGCATGCTGTTCCTCTTGAGATGAAGCTTGGGATGTTACAAAGGGAGATATTGGGCGAGAAACAACTGCTTTTTGTGGGTCCTTGTTTTCTCCACTTGCAAGGCTGTCTTTAACAAGGGTGGAGAAGATGGTCCTGAGATGAAGAGGGGACACTGAATGCCCTTAGCAGACGGGGACTGTACTCCTTAAATTGTGCAGAGCAGCTCTTTGACTCTTTGTGGGGGATTGGCCTCAGTATCTCAAGGCAGAGGATTTTCAGTAACTCAAATTGCAAGGGTTGCTGCTCTTCATGGGATGGGAGTGGAGGATCCTTTTGCAGGACTGCCTTCTAGAACTGGGTAGGACTGCTCAGCATCATTCTTCCTCCAGCAACAACAACAACAAAGTTTGTCCAGTGAGGCATGCCATGGCATGTGTATTTTGTTCTAAATGGATATGGAATTGAAACTGGTTGACTAATATAGCATATAATCTTTTTAAAAATTCATTATTTCAGAGTTGCAGGTCTGAAGAGTAACAGGATATCAGTGACAATGGCAAGTGGGAAATGGTCCAATTATTAAGTTAGCCTTTCAAGCTGGCTCATTGCCAAAGTGAAATAGTTTTATGAAAAATACAGGGCTTATAGTGCTGATTTGAGCATATCCCCAAATAGAAACAAGCATCATATGTTTTTGTTCTCCAGGGAGTAGTTTGCATTTTAAAAAATTAAATATGACTAAAACTCTATGGAAATTAAAAAGATGATTGTTTACAGTTCAAACCAAATGATAAAAAAACCCAGGCCCATTTGTGGGACAATACACAGTACAAGAAATTGATGCATCGTTGAGTCTTTAGGGAGTACATTGTATCACTTTTGGAGGTATATAGACTTGAGGTGAATCCATTTTGAACTGGAGCTGGTTGGAAATGGTAACTATGTTCTATGACCAAGTTATATTTTTTTAAAAAAATGTTTTTTTAATTAAAAATCAGTGCTTTTTTCATTTTTTTGATTGTTTTTTATTTTTGAAAACCAATTTTTGTTGGTTTTTAGTTTTTCATTAAACTTTTCATCAAAAAAAGAGTTTCATTAGTTTTTCCTCATAAAAAAAAGTTAAATGAAAAATTTGGGCCAATTTTATTCAGAATTTTGTTGCAGTCAGTAGGGAGTTCACCATACCACCCAGTGCTGGGGACAAACATGACAGATTTTCACTTGCCCATTTCATTTTGCATCTCTTGCTTGAGGGAGATTCTCCTTCAGGGACCAGATACTCTCCCTAAAAGGAATGCCCACTGGGAAGCTCTTTCTTTTCTGGATTAATTTGCCTCATGCCATGCCCACATCTGTCAAAATCTCATTTCTTCATTCTACAGATCTCAGTAGTAGCTTTGGTGGGAGACTGGCCTTGGAGCCTATTGACATCAACAGCGTTTCCACCTCCACTGTGGTCTCCATTATTGAGCTTAATACCAATCTCAATGATGTACATGTAGAGCTGAGTGAAATTTTTCAGACCATGAGTTTGTTCCCCTAAAAAATGCCATTTCAGTCAACCCCAAACTATTTGCAAACTCAACACAAATTTTACCATATAGTTTTGGCCACAAAACAAAATCAGGCTAGAGTCATAAGGCAAGTTAGGTGCCATTCACAAAATTGAAGAGGAGGTAGTGCCCCTTCTCCCAATAACTAATAACCCTGTGATTATAGAACTTGCTTCGGCTGTGGGATCAAGTCCCTCCTCTCCCTGACGTGCAGCAGTATTTGAAGCCGGGGCTCCCGTATCCCAGGATTTTGCCCTAGCCCCTGGCTTGTAAGGAGTTCTGGGGTGGATCTTGCTCAGTCTCTCCTGTTGAAGCTGTTCCACTTTGTATGAATAAATAAATAGTCCTTGGAGCAGGGACTGAAATCTAGCTGTGTCCCCTAACCACCAGGCTGTAGAGTCATTCTCACATACTCTCTCAGTCCGAATGAATATTTAAATACAGTATTATTACAACCCCTTGGTTGCCAGCGAAAAGTTGCTATGAGCCAGCAGTTGCTAGTAACCGCAAGCAGGAGTGCAGGAACCTCGGTAGAAGTGGGGGGACCATGAGGTCCCATCCTCACTTCTCCTCTTCCCCTGAGGTCCTGCCCCCTGGCCAGGCTGGAAGCCAGAGCCAGGCCATGGTCAGAGCCGCCCAGGCTGTTGTGGGGACCCCTGGATCCTTCTCCTGCCCTGGGCGGCACACCCCAGGGGTTGGGAACATGTGCCAGGGGCTGCTTTCAGGACTCCCGGCCCCCAACCCAGGGCAGGTGGTTTCCAGCCTAGTCAGGGGGTGAGGCCTTTGGGAAAAGAGCAGGACCATGGATGGGGTCCCATGGAGAGTGGGGGCTAAGCCCCACTTTGCCCCCTCCCCCGGGAAGAGCCTAACGCCGCCAGTAGGGGAGATGATCACCTTCCCAGTTGTGAAGCACAGCCTCTGCCTGCATCACTCCACGCCTGTTCAAGGCTTTCAGTTTGTGTGTGTGTGGGGGGAACATGGAACCCTGCCTTCCAAACCCTGCCCATGTTACAAGGTGGGCAGGTATAGCCCCAGTTCCAGCGCCCATGAGTAGAAGTGAGGTTTGCAAGGCTGCAGCCGGGGAAGGAAGTGCTGGGATGTGCCTTTCCCAATTGTAGCCCCACACAAACCTGCCTGTGGGAAGGGATGCAACCCTCATGCTGAGGCTTTCTACAGGGATCAGGGGCACTGGGGGCCTGTGGAGCTGCACCGTACCTCTCCCTGCATACTCTGGGGGCTGGGGCTCAGCGCCTTCTCTGGGTGCAGCCCCCCCACCAGGGCACAGACTGCAGAGTATAGGGAGAGGTACCCTGCAGCTCCCACATCGGGGCTGCAGCCCCCCTCTACTGCCCTGCCCATAGCCTCCCCTCCCAGCCCCTTATCTCCTGTGTGGACCCAGTGTGCAGGCAGGTTTATGGGACTGCTGCCCCAGACGGAAGCACTGGGATGGGCTGAGCACTGGCTGCCGACTGGTTTGTGGGGCTGCAGCCAGGGAAGACACATCCCAGCACTTCCTTCCCTGTCTGTAACCTTGCAGGGGCCTTTCTTCCAAAAAATGTTGCTAATAAGCATCATGCCAATGTCTGAATCCCATTCACATTAAAGTCAATGGGACAGGATGGGTGCCCAGCAAAATATTGCTATTAACTGGTAGATGTCAATATTCCGGTTGCTATTAAGTGGAATGTACTGTATTTATACAAAGTGGTACAACTTGAACAGGAGGGACTGAAAGCTTCACCTCAGAATATCCTATAGCTCAGTGGTTAGAGCACACATGTGGGATATGCCAGAGCTGGGTTCAAATCCTTTCCCCAAATCAGTCGGCAGGGGGGGTCTTTGAATCTGGGTCTTCCACATCCCAAGTGAGTGCTCTAACCACTAGGCTCAGAGGGAGGTGCCGACCTTCTCCCCCTCCTTGTTTCTGTGAATGTGTGAAAATGAAATATTTCATTTCAGACAACTTAAAACGTTTTTTATTTGTTAAGGCTTTTTGTTTTGCCAAGAAAACTTTTTTTTTTGTTTTAAAGCAATCTGAAACCAATTTTGATTTTTATTTGTCGCTTCAGCCAGTGAACTGAAAAATTATTTATTCCCACAATTCCATGTACATTAGAGATGTTCTGAAAGTGGAAAAAAATGTCAAAAATCTCAAAATGTCACAGTTGTTTCCATCTCACAAGGTTGATCCTTTTGTTTTATTGTTTCTGGTGAATTTTTAAATCAGTATGTAAATAGAATCTTTATTCAAAACTATCATCTAATTGGGTTATCAACGTTTGTACTTACAAAAAAATATTTTCAGTATAAGGAAAATGCTGACAACCATTTAAATTAAAATCTTAATAAAATATCGTGAAAAACAAAATGTTTTTAAAAAGTCAGATCTGGATGAAAATTTTCATTTTAAAAAGTCAACTTTTTGACAAAAAATAGGTTTTTTTTGACCATTTCTAAAAGGCACAATACTCATTCCCACACAACCCCATTCAAAATTATGAACAGCATCTCTAGTGTCCCTGGAAAGGCCACAGCATCCAGCATAGTCACAGAACACCAGTGTCTTTCCCCACATACCACTGCCAACTTGAGGGAGTCTAGATTTCATTACTTCCTGGTATTGAAACTAAGGGGCAAATTGATAATGGTGCGCAAAACTGCACAAACACCCTTGGAAGCAGCTCGACGGTCGGGAGGGGAGTATCCACCGCTCTCACAGAAATTCCATTGGGAAAGGGCTGAACAGAAATTCCATTGGGAAAGGGCTGCTTCCTTCCACTGAGATTTTGTTGCTGTCCCTCCACTTTAGGTGGCTTTGCTGCTTGGCATTAAGAAATCCCACGATTCATCTGACAAGGGGTGGTCAATCCTCAGACACAGAAACACTGATATATTCATTTCACTTGATTTAGAGCACCCATGACATTGGGTGACTGAAGAACAATTAATGAACATGAGAGAGAGAGAGAGAGAGAAAATCAGTTCTACATAATGCACTCCAGCCTCCCCATCCCAAGCCATCCAGATTAAAATAATACTTGACCCACATAGAACAACCCCAAAACCCTCATCTCACCCCTGTTAGAAGCCAAAGAGAAAAGCT